CGGTAATGAGCCTCCCGTGCAGGTGAGGATGGCAGATAGATAGTGAGGAGTCAGGATGACAGCCGGTAATGAGCCTCCCATGCAGGTACAGAAGACAGGCAGGTAGTGAGCCTCCAAGCGAGAGTAAGGATGATGACAGGTAGTGAGCCTCCTGGTGCTCTTCAGTCTTCTTGGAGCAGATTGAGGGTCAGTCCTGCCTAAGAATTCAGGCATGGACCCTGTGGCTGTTAATCCCTCCGGGGCCTAAGAGACTGATCCTGGAGATAGGATGATGCTCAGGAGAAGGAAGAAGAGCTCTCTCCCATGGTATCATTGGTGCAGGGAGCTTCCATTGTGGAAACTCCTTCCACCTGTTCAGGGGAACGCCTTCCCTAACTTTTCCTGCAGGAGAGGGACCTGCCCCGGGACCCTGGAGAGGCTGAGTGACCTCCTGAGGGCCTTACGAGACTGGGGCCACTCCCTGGACTGCTCTTCTTGGGGTGAAAGTCTCGGCCCAGGGGAGGAGTCCTGTTTGTCCCAGGCTGGCCGGAGGACCCTGGCACATCTAAGGGCACATACAGCCATCGATTGCATGGGAGTGAATGAGAAAGGAAACCTTTTGAGCCCAGTCTCGCCCCAGTGGACGTGGAGGTGGAGGGCCAGGGTCGGTGGAGGGGTGGCCTTCCCGTTACACTCCCCCTGGCAGACCCATACTGGGTCCAGTTCTAAGCCCCACACGGGAGGGAAGGGCGTGGATGGGCTGCAGGGCTGCTACATTTCATCCTCTATTCCACAAAGAGTTAGGTGAGAGATCCGTCGGCTCCCGGGCCATGTGAGGTGCTGACTCCTCTCATCGGAGACCCCCAGTGCAGATTGTGCCTTAGATGAAGCCTTTCCTGGAGAGCTGCTAGTCTCTCCCACCTGCCAACATGGATTTTTGTGTGTCTCTGGGGTCTCAGTCTGTGTTACTTGCACCCGGAGGCCTCCTTTTTTCCTTGCCCTGGCACTTAGGTGTCCCTGATGAAGGCTCACTGACCGATCTCACTTGCCCCTGGTCACACTAGGATTTGCACTCAGATCTTTGATGTCGCTCTATCCTGACGGCGTCTTTTCTTCTGTTAAATGGCATCAGTAATATCTGCTTCCCCACGTCCTGAGCTAGCCTGATGCTCTTTCTTCCAGATCTGGAGCTAGAAGGAACCTTAGAGACATGAGTCTAACTCTAGCTGAGGAAACTGAGGCCCTTGGAGGGAGGGCAGTGGCCTGCCCGGGAGGCAGAGGGTGCTGGGCAAGGTGTCAGGTGTACAAAGCTGGAGTGAGACAGCCCAATTCTTAATGACTTTCCACTCGTGGGGAGAGTGAGATGCACACCAGGAACTGCTCGGTGAGGTGGTATGCGGTCAGAGGATGCAAGAAGGCCTCATGCCTTCCTCGTGGAGGAGGAAGTAATGGGGCAGCTCCCATTCTTTGCAGTTTACAAAATGCTTTTATGCAGTTCTCTTTATCCTGGCGTGTCTAGCAAGCGGTGCAACTGAGACGTGGTCCCATTTTAGAGATGAGGAAACAGATTCAATGAGGGCAAATGAGAGAGATCGAAGACTTCATTTCAGCAGGTTTTTTTGTTTTTGTGTTTTTTAGTGAGGCAGTCGGGGTTAAGTGACTTGCCCAAGGTCACACAGCTAGTACGTGTCAAGTGTTTGGTCTGAGGCCGGATTTGAACTCAGGTCCTCCTGACTTCAGGGCCGATGCTCTATCCACTGCACCACCTGGCTGCCCCAATTTCAGCAGTTTTTCACACTATCTCAGGCTGTTGAGTCGGGTGGTCAGGAGAGAGCCCTCGGGCCAAAAACCAGGGCTGGTGTGGGCAAAGGCAGGAGATGGTGTTGATGGCAGAAATAGGCCTAGATAAGCCAGCTGGGCTTTGACAGACGTCCTTGTGAGTCAGCAGTGTTATGATCACATGTGTGGGTGTGCTTGTATGTGTGTTGTGTCTGCGTGTCTATCTTTGGCATGGTCTGTGATCAGAGGTGTTGGGCCAGTGTGTGCCCTGAGTTATGTTCTTGTCTGAATGAGGATATGTTTGTATGAGTGTGGCTGGGGCCGGCCGTGGGGGCCTGTCGTCAGGGAGGCTGAGGCTGCCTTGAGCTCCTCTGGTGTCTGCACTGAGTCTGGCACCAAGATGGTGGAGCTGAACACCACCCAATAAGGCCGCCTCGGAGGGGCCCACAGACAGAGCAGGCTAACGCTGCCGATCAGTAGTGAGATCAGGCCCATGAGAGGCCATGGCCCTTCCGGCCCAGGTGAGGTAGGGAGACCCCCCCATCTTAGAACAAGAACATGATGAGGTGGGAGCCCTGGGAAGTTCAGGGAGCATCTGATCACTTGGTATCTGGATGGTTGGTAAAGGTAGTGAATGTGAATGGATTCAGGTGTAGGCCCCCTGAGCCAAGTGCTGGTGTAGTGGAGGCAGTAGATATAGTGATGATGTTGGAGTCAGGACCTAGGTTTGAGTTCTGACTGTCCCTTGCTTGTGCCAGGCCCTGAATGCCAGCATAGAGTTAATACTTCATGTAGTTGGCAGCAGGGAGCCCCTGAAGGCCTTTGAGAAGAGGAAGGACATGGTATTTCATTCCCTTCATTCTTCCCCATTCTCTTGGTCTGCCTAGGATTCTGTCTCACCCCACAGCCCCTCCTTTCCTTGACTCGGCCCTCTGGGCCCACTGGCTGCCCCTCCGACCAGTTGCCATTTTTGTCCTGCTCTTCTCTTTCCCTCTGGGCCAGCCCACAGCCCCCACAAGCTCCATTCCTAGCGGGGAGATGAGCGGATGCTCCCGAAGGAGGTGATGAAGCTGCGTCAGTGGCTGCCTGCCCTCCGCAGGGTCACTGACGCTCAATTGTCCCGTTTGTCTCCTGTTGACTCTCTCTTACTCTCCCCGGCAACTGCTCCAGGCCAGGCCTTTATCCCTGACCCCCTCCCTGTACATGACCTGTCCTGCTGCCCCAGCAGCCCAACGTGAGTGTGGAGGAGTTATGTGGGGCTGGAGACTGAGATCAGGGAAAGGGGGCTTCCCAAGCAGGCCTTGATTGCAAGAGGATGATGGGAACAGTCTTTGGCTTGGCCTCCTGGCCCCTAATCACTTTCGCTTATAATTCACTTCTTCACATCTCTGTCAGAATGTTCTATTCCGTACCCACTTCTGATCACCATCTCCCATGGCTTCCTGCAGCCTGCTGAATATAGAAGTGCCTTGTTAGCCTGGCATTCAAGGCCTTGTGCGATCCACTTATAATTTACCTTCCCAACTTTATGACATTTCCCTTCACGCACCCCCTCCTAGTCCAGCTGGACTCCTCACTGGCCCCTCATCCCACCTCTCCTTTCCTACTTCCGTGTCTTTGCTCATTGCCTCAAATGGGTCTCCCCCTTGCCTACCGTCTTCTTTCTACTTCTTCAAGACCCAGCTCTTGTGTAGCCTTCTCTAACTGCCTCCTCTCTCAGACCTCCTAGCCTTCTTTGTTTGACCTTTCCTATAGACTGAATGACTTTCTAATTTCTATAATTTCTATTCTATGTTTTGTAGGCCTGTCTCATCCCTCCCCCTGCTCCTGGGGGCAGGACCCATCTTGTTTTTCATCTTTTTGTCCCCAGCACCTAATACAGTGACTTGCTCATATTAAGAACATAAATGTTTTTTTTAAATCACGTTGGTGGCTACTTTCTGGGGGCTTCCAGTCTTGAGTGGACCTTCTGGTTGGGGAGATTTGTGTGAGCAAAGACACGGCAGAGACTGTGTTCGGGGACTAGGGGGAAGGCCGTTTGAGGAGCAGATGTTTTTGTAGGATAGCAAGACCTGGAAGGTCAAGTCTGGATTTGGTCCCATATTTAGCAAGGCATCTTTGGGGATCATAGGCCTAGAACTGGGAGGGACCCCAAAGGCCATCTGGGCTAACCCCTCTTTTTACAGAGTCTGGGCACGTGAAGTGACTTAGGGCACAGACTTCCAGCGAGGAAGGGCCTGAGAAGTCCTCACGTCTAAATCCCTTGTTTTCTAGTTGGGGAAACCGAGGCCTGGAAAGATCCTGAGGTGACTTAGGATGCTAAGATGGTAGCTCTGCATCTGGAGGCGACCTCACAGACCATTAATAACCCCCTCAATTTACAGAGGAGGTTGATCGGCCACAGTCACACCGGACACAAAGGACAGGAAGGGAAGGTTAGTGGGGGTTGACCCCCCCCGGTGCCATTTCACCACCTTCCCTCTCGCTGACCTTCACAGACCCACAAACAGACCTGAGGTGGGGGTGGGGGCGGGGGCACCTCGGCTGCCAGGGCGGGCAGCGAACATGGGCGTGCTGCTCTGGCACCAGAGCGTCGTGGGGGAGCCTGGATCTCCAGCGCTGATGCCAGAGTTCCACGTTCACGAGCTCTCTGGGTGTTTATCTGCCTTGTAGCCTCAGACTCGGTTCTGGGTCCTCGCAGTGACCTCAGTCCCTGAGCTCTTTCCTACACCATCACCCTGCACTTGCTACACTCTCTTCCCTTCCCCATCATGACCCGTAGTGAACCAGGTTGCGTCTGCAGTGGTCTCTTCTCTCCAGTCTCTTGCCCTGCCAGACTCCAGCCTTGGATTCCTGCTGCCATTCG